GGATCTTGTGAGTCTATGGCCAGTGGCTTGTCTCTGACTAACAGACTTCCTTATCTCTACTTAAAACATTCCAAGCCTTTAGACAAAGCTTCATTTCTCTAACCAATTACAAATCAAAGAATCTTTAAGCCCGCCTATACCATGTAATCCCGTTTCTAGATGCCCTGCCTTTTCCAGCCAAACCAATGTACACCTTCCGTGTATTCATTTATGACTTTACATGTAATTCCTATTTCCCCGAAATTATAAAACCAAACTGTAACCCAACCATGGCAAGACCACTTGCTCCAGGCTTCTTGGGTATACCTCTGGGCCATGGTCCTCATACTTGGCTCAGAATAAACCTCTTTATTTTACAGAATTTGGGTTCTTTTCCATCGACACTAGTGGCAGGCCAGTGTGGCCAGCCCAGCACCAGACACGGTTACACCATTTGCTCATTTAACCCCTGCTGGAAACGCAGAGAAGGGAGGAGGCAGACTCTGCCTCGCAGCCTGATCAGACTGTCCAGGAACGCAGGCCCCCAGCCCTGAGAAAAGAGATGCCGCCATTGCTCTTTAAGCCAGGAATGTTGATCTATTGCTGAGATGCTGCCTCCCAGAGAAATCCGGCGGGCGAGAGGAAAGCAGCGAACAGGTATTTTAAGCATAGATCTTCCAGTGTCTATTTGCTCAATTATAAATACAAGTAACTTCAGCGGAGAATAAAGAGTGTTCATAGCTTGAGTTTACACTACATCAGAACAAAGTTTTAATTCGCTTAATACTACCCATTTACTGAATGTCCTAGGAAGACAGCAGAGGAGCTCCCAGGACAGCAGAAGGCCCAACACAGTATCACAGCCCCCAAGGCGCTCACATTTCAACAAGGAGGCCCCGGGCTTGCTTACTACCTGTTTATCTATGTCATTGCAATTACAATAGGTACTTGTGAGGTGACCTCTTCTGAGCTTTAGACAACAAAGGCCATACTTACATCTGCCCAGACTTTCCATGCTTCTCTTGCTTTCTTTACAGTTTCTTCATAGTCTGCCATGCTGGCCTAAATTAAGAATTAGGGAGAGAGGGGGACGGAAAGGGAAGTGAAGATGACATTCTAGAACACACAGATATTTTTGGAAAAGAATTGGAAAATATCTAAGCGTCCCTAATATTTACAGCTGGGAATGATTCTCACAGTCTACACTTCCAAAAACTGGCTAGAATCCAGTTAGAATACACCTGTGCTTTAAAACCTTTCTTTTCAAAGCAAGATCCATTAGCAACACCCGAGGTATATTAGAAATGCAGAAACTTGGGCTCCAACCCAGATAAGGAATCAGAACCTTCATTCTAACAAAATCCTCAGGTAATTCAGAAGCACTACCTTAAATGGACCTCCTCCCTAGTCTCTATAGTTCACATTTTTGCTGGCACACAAGCCCCGCCCCCCAAGAGTGGAAAGACTGTCCCAGACATTCTTAAATGTCAAATGAAAAAGAAACATATTATTATTTTGTGTTTTTCTATTGCATTTGTGATTTTGTACTCCTCCTGACTTGCCTAATTGGCTCTGCCTCTCAAGAAAGCTGCAAAAACACCCTGTGCAGTTTGAATTAAAACAAAAAAAACCACTTACCTGTTGGACTCTTGCTATTGGTTCATTGTTAGCAGGACAATAGGTGGTAATAACCTTAAAAGAGAAAGATGACCATCATATATAGAAAATGTAATCCCTTCTGAATTGAAGGAACAAATCATACAGGGGGAAGAAAAACAAGAGAGGAAAAAAAAAGATATAATATCCAAACTCGGAAACTTTAAGTTAGCTTTTGCTACAAATATTAATAAAACACTCTACAGAGTTTGAGTCTTTAATTTCTTTGGAAGACATTAGAAACCACCTTTCTGCAAAACTCACCCTTGCCATCTAAATATTAGGTTTATAAACAAAAGCCTTAACTAACCAGTTATTTTGCCTCTTTTTCCATTAATAACAGATCAAACTGATGAGTTTTATTTATTCCTTCTCTCCCTTACACTGTCGACCCTCTGGCCAGAGATGCCACCGCTAGACAACCATGGAAAAGGCTTGTGTCCACTGGAGAGGCCTCAGGTCAGCAACTATAAAGGGAAAATCAAAGTGCAGCTAAAAAGGCCTTCAGGATAGAGTATTTTATCAAAGAGCCTAATGATTAGATACCTACAAGAAAAACAGGATGAAACATAGGGATTTGGGGAACAATTAAAATCATGTGCATCTTCTACAGCCACAGATCACCAAAAGGAAAATGTGTTTCCTCTAACAAAGCAGGTTCGTTATATAAAACTTTCAACAAAGTTTGTTGAATGTTACATAACATTTGCTTATAAAAAGTTTTCTTTAAAAATTTTGGGTGCTAATAACCCTATCTTTCCATTGCATTCTATATTTTATTGAGTAGTAACTGGGTGCCAGGTACAGTGTTAAGCTCTGAGCAATAGAGAAAGGCTAAGAATCCTGTTCTCAAGGAGGAACAAAGAACGTCTCAACGAAAACAGGATCTTACCAAGTCCGGGCTTGCAAATTCCAAAGGATTTCAGGAAAGAGAACAACATAAAACTACACTGTAGAACGTTACCTGCGGCGGCTGTCACATCTGAAGAGCCACAGTCAAGCTCTAAATTAAGATCAATTGCACCGCCAAGTGTGTGCCGTTTCTCACTACAGATCCAAGACTCTGCCATACGGATTTAAGTGTGCATGGGAAGTTTAGCCCCCTGCCAGCTCCAAGATGACATCGAATCTCCATAGCACACAAGCACCTAAAAATCTAAGTTTTTAAAAGACACCCTAAATGAGAAAACTTTCACTGTGGAGCTTCAAAACCCGCCATCCAGTGCAACCGCCCACAGCGCCAGCGCGGCCGGCCCCCGGAGCGCACCCAAGCTGCCGCACAGATTTCCCGGGCGTCCGCATACCTCTCCCCGGCCTCCCCAGCTTCCATTATACACGCCCTCGTTTTCCTCGCGGAGCCCCAGCTCTTTCAGCCAGGCATACTGGGGCTGGCTGATCAGCAGAGTGGACATGACGGCGGCGGGCCTGTACCAAGGTGCCGAGAGCATGCAGGTCCTTGCAGCGTGCACACAGAGCGCCCGGGGCAGGCGCCACATACCGAGCCCGGAATCGACACGCGCCTGCGGTCCGAGGCGCGGCTGAAATAGAGCCCCGCCCCCCACGCGAGCGCGCCCATTGGGCAGGCCCCGCCCCGCCCACCAGACACGCCCCTCCCCGCGCCCTACGGGCCTGGGGGCTTCCGGGGGAGCCGGGAGCTGAACCCGGGCCTGGAACGAAGGGCGTGCCGCGGGAGGGAGCGCTAGGGCGCCGCCATCCGGTGAAAGATGCCCGGAGCCGCGGCACCGGCTGGGGATTCTTCTCAGTAAAACATTGGCTCCAAAGTGCAGTGGGTTAGAGCAAGACTTCTCAAACTAATGTGCACGTCATCGCCGGGTTAAACGCACGTTCTAATGCAGTGGGTCTGCGCTGGGCACTTCAAACAGCTTCCAAGTGATGGCGACACCGCTGCTCCCTGCAGTAGCCAAGGGAGGTTTTCACTGCTTTCGTAGATTACAAATTAGAGTTTTCTAAGTAATGAAAAATATTAAATTATTGTATTTCCTCCTAAATATCCTCCCCAGGTATGTTCTTACTTTTTTTTTTTTTTTTGAAAGAGAGTCACACTCTGTTGCCCTGGCTAGAGTGAGTGCTGTGGCATCAACCTAGCTCACAGCAACCTCAAACCTCCTGGGCTCAAGCGATCCTACTGCCTCAGCCTCCCGAGTAGCTGGGACTATAGGCATGCGCCACCATGCCCGGCTAATTTTTTTTCTATATATTTTTAGTTGTCCAATTAATTTCTTTCTATTTTTAGTAGAGACGGGGTCTCGCTCTTGCTCAGGCTGGTCTCGAACTCCTGAGCTCAAACAATCCGCCCGCCTCGGCCTCCCAGAGGGCTAGGATTACAGGCCTGAGCCACCGCACCCGGCCTGTTCTTACTTTTGAAGAACAAAAAGACAGGTTGATCAATTTCCTTTTTTCTCCATTTTTTCAGTCTTCCTATATTCTCTCCACCTATCCCTCACCATACTCCATCTCTTTCCGCAATAGCTCGGCCAACCCTATGTAAGGGAAATACATCTCAATCAGCAGTATTTGGATGAGAGTTAAAAATGTACATGCACTCTCAAATAAATTGGATTAATAGGTGCCTCAGTGATTCGCAACCTACTTTTTCAAAATATTTCTCACTACTTGCCTTGTGGCTTTCCACACTGCAGCCAAAGTCACTTCATGTTTCTATACAAAGCCTGTATTTTCCTCCCACTGTTTCTTTGCCCTTGCTGTTCTCGCCACCTGTAAAACCCTTCCACCTGTGCATTCAAGCTTCTGCTTTGTCTGTTCCACCCTTATAGCACACATGATTTCAACAAACACTCAGCATATATCAAGTACTTACCAGGAACTGCAGTTACTACTTGGAATATATGAATGATGCTTCCTTTTGTATATGTTATATTTTTTCCTGTTAGGGCAAGGACCATCTCTGACTTATCTCTTGCATTGCTCCACATTTCCCAGCATTGTGCCAGGCCCATGTCCACTTACATGAATGCATGAACGAATGAACCTGTGAACACACCTTCTCGGGAGTAGCAAGCATGGATACCCTATCTAGCGTCGGCAATCTCTATCAACAACCCAGCTACTGTCTTCCATCGACCCTGAGGACCACAACACTAATTTTCCTAATTTTAATTCTCAGCCATTTAAACTAATTACTTATCACTTTCTGTCAGTCTGCAAGATTCTTTGTACACGTATCCCAAAACCACACTCTTCTTTCTCTTCTCCGTGCTATTCAACAAAATGAAAAGACATTTACAGATGCACTAAATTTTAGGAGCAATGCATGATGTTCTCAAGGAATGTTAGCTTCCTTCTCTCAAATCAAGGAAAGAGGTTCATGGCCATCTTTCTAAACCAATTCTGGGAAGAGAAGCACCAGAATCTGCCCGCACTAAAAATAGGGATTATGTCTCTCTTTAATCTCCTCTTTCCAAAACTCACTTGCCCTGTCCAACAGGGGTTCAGGAAAAATCAGAAACAATGGATTTTGATGGGGCATAGCAGAAATACAGAATTAAATGAACCATGTATGAAAGCACTTTGAAAACTACAAAGCCCCGTAGAAACATAAATGCCCGGAGGCAGAGGGATGTTACCTGAACAGATTTGCCTCCCCAGGATTCTATTTCAACTTCAAAAACTCAGAACCTGATTTACCATATGTTGGTAAGTGACACTATTATTCTGGACAAACTCATATTAATCAAGCTCACACACACGCAAAAAATGATACTACAACAAGAATGCTGGGTTACAGGGAAAATTATCTTCAGAGAGGACCAACGATTCACGTCCTCCTTTCATTCCGTTCTCTTCAGGTTACAAACTATCTCTCCAGTTGTTGATTAATAATATATGATTCCAGTGTTTAATGGCATCAGGCTAAAATAGCCTCCCCAATTTCTGAATTAATCTATAGATTCAATGCAATTCCAATCAAAATATCAGAATTGACAAGTCAATTCTAAAGTTTAAATAAAACTGCAAAGGATCTAGAATAGACAAAATAATATTAAAAAAGAAGGACAAGTTTATATTGCCTAATATTAATTTTTATAATATTCTACAATTATCATAAAGCTGCAATTACCAAGAAAGTGTCACTTTGGAGTAAAGATAGTCATAAAGATCAATAGAACAGAATGGAAAATCCAGAAATAGACCCTCATATATGGTCAATTTTCAGTGAAAGTGTAAAGGAAATTCAGTGAGGAAAAAGTCTTTTCAATAAATGGTAGTATATTAATTGGATATTCACATGCAAAAAATGAACCTTGACTCTTACTTCATGTCACATATAATAATTAACTCAAAATGGACCATAGACCTCAAGGTAGGAGCTAAAACTCTAAAACTTCTAGAGAAAAACGTAAGAGCAAATCTTTGCTGTGGGAAGCTGTTTTATGCATTTTAGGATGTTTAGGTGAATCTCTGGTCTCCACTCCCTAGATATTGGTAGCAACCCCATGTTGTAACAATTGAAAACATCTCCAGACATTACCAAATGTCCCCCGGGGAACATCTAGCCACTACCTGAGAATCACTGGATTATTCGATGTGTTCTTAGCATACAAAATGCATGAATCATAAATGAAAAAATTGATAAATTGGGCTTTATTAACATTAAAACAGGTGGTGGCTCACTCCTGTAATTCCAGCACTTTGGGAGGCCAGGATAGGAGGATCACTTGAGGCCAGGAGTTGGAGATCAGCCTGGGCAAGAGAGAGAAACCCCATCTCTACAAAACACTTGTTTTAAAAAATTAGCTGAGTATGATGGTGCACGCCTATAGTGCTAGCTACTTGGGAGGCTGAGGCAGGAGGATAGCTTGAGCCCAAGAATTCGAGACTACAGTGAGCTATGATTACACTATTGCACTCCAGCCTGGGTGACAGAGACACTATCTCTAAACAACAACAAAAAACTTTTGCTCCTCACAGGATATTGTTAAAAATATGAAAAGATGACTGTGTTCAGAAACAAACTTTTTTCTCTGTTTTTACACTATAATAATTAATACATAATATTTCTGTGACCAAGTGTGGGAGGGATGTCCTCACACACCAAGCAAGTAATCAATTGTGTGGCAAACACGAGCTGGATGTCCTCCAATTTAATTTTGGCACTACCTCCCTGGGCATGGTGTCAGATTCCACAGGTCGAGGACTCAGTCCCGCTTTTGACGTCAATTGCAAGTCCTAGGTTGTTTTATCTGTGTTTTTGACCAACCAGCTATATATTAAGGTTCCCATGATCCCTTCTTAGGCTTGATTAATTTGTTAGGGTGGCTCACAGAACTCAGAAAACCACTTACTTATGTTTACCTAGTTCATTGTAAAGGATACTACAAAAGATAGAAATGAAGAGAAGCGTGGGGTAGGCATGAGGGAAGGGGCACAGAGCTTCCATGCCCTCCCCGGTGCTCCAGCCTTTGGAACCGCCATGTGTTCAGCTGACCAGAAGCTCTCTGTACCTCATCCTCTTGGCCCTTTTATGGGACTTCATTGGATAGGCATGACTGAAGCATGGACAACCATGTAGAAATGTGATTGGACAAAAAGGGTATGATTTAGTACTAATAGACCAAGTGGGGAAGCCCAGCAAGGCCTGCCTGTCTAGATTCTTCTTGGCCTCTCTGTGCAGTATTCCTTCCTCCCAGGGACAGGGCAGGACCTCTTCTGAAATTGGTCTGATGACCTACAATTAGACAAGGTAAGTCAGAGAATTTCTTTATGGTCCGCTCCAAGATAGAAAAACGAGGGGAAATTAGAGTATATTTTTAGTTTTTATGGCCTGCCTTGGGGAGAAAGAGGAGTAGGGAAAAGGAGGGCAGGAGAAGGTCAGAGAGAGAGGTTCTATTTTCTGAGGCCTGCTTCTGAGGCCTAAAGTGCCCCAACATAACAAAAAACTGTCTTTCCCCTCTTTTGTTCTGAAGCTGTTCTGAAGCTATTTCAGAAACCAAGGACAAAAGGCCAAATATTTTAACAAAAGATATGCCTATTTTTTAGTCACTTAGGAAATAATAAGAGCTATGGGAGTTATGAACCAAGAATTGTGGATAAACACACACACATATATATATATCATATTATCACAATAATATATATTTAGCACAATTTTATTTTTATATATATAGTATTATCACAATAAACCAGAGACAGGGAGAAAATATATGCATACATATAAAAGATTATATACATATGTGTGTATAACTGATAAAGGGCTTGTTTCTAGACTATATAAGGAATGCTTATAATTCAATAGTAAGAAGCCAGGCACAGTAGCTCACGCCTGTAATCCCAATATTCTGGGAAGCCAAAGTGGGAGGATCACTTGAGGCTAAGAGTGGAAGACCACCCTGGACAACATAGTGAGACCCCATCTCTTAAAAAAAAAAAAATTAGCAGGACATGGTAAGGTGTGCCTGTAGTCCTAGCTACTGGGAAGGATGAGGCAGGAGGATTGTTTGAGGCAGGAATCTGAGGTTGCAGCGAGCTATGATCACACCACTATACTCTAGCCCGGGTGACACGGTGAGACCCTGTCTGGGAAAAAAAAAAAAAAAAAAGAAAGAAAAAAGAATAAGAAAAATAAAATGATTGACCAACCTGACTTTTTAAAAATGGACAAAAAATTTGAACT